AGGGCTGGAGCACCTCTCCTATGCATTAAAGAAGACTTGCATTCAATGAATAGGACATTATTTACCTTTCCTGTGCTGCAATCTGAACAGACCAGTATTTCTGTTACTGTGCATTCTTAATGACAATAATGAACTTTCAGGAAAAGTTTGCGATTTAGTGCAGTTCAGTAGGAAGTGGTGCTGTGCATGGTAAGTCTTGCATCCCTGAAATGCACTCTGTTCAAATTTGAGAACACAATGGTATTCTGAAGCAACTAAACAGGGATTTCTTTTGATCTAAATCTATGTATGAGGAAAGACAACTGCATGAACTTCCATGAGGTTTTCTAAAATGAATGGAAGAACCAACTGTGCCAGAAATAAGGGCTGGCATGGAAAAAGGCAGAAATTGCTATTTTGGAAGTTTTACAGTCTTCCCTAAACTTTTGGGGCAGTTGTGTATAAAACTGATAGTTTTATAGAAGTAGTCTACTTAGCTCTTTGTTTATTTGATTACTTTGGGTTGAAGGAGAACTACATTTTAATAGCAAGCTTAAAGATTTGATAATGAATCTCTGACTTACTACACATGTTAAAAAATGTGAGACTTTCTCTCCCCATCCTCTCTCCCCTTATGGGTTCTACTTAATTACATCCTGTGAAGTAATTAAGATTTGGAAGGGAAGCTTTTTCATGATACTGGAAATAGAAAATATTTCTGTCTTTGAGGGTAAAGTTGTACCTTTTCATTCAAACACGCAAAGCAGGAGTAAAAGTTAAAAAAAAAAAAAAATCACAGAAACTACTGTTTTATCTTGGATCTCTGCAGTTCCTTGGTAATAATGTTCTCACTTAAACAATGAAGAAATGCTATATGGTTCAGATTCTGAATTAAGAAAGAAGTCTCTTTGCTTATTCTCATGATAGCCAGGATAACGGTCTCTTAAGTCTATTTCTTCCCCTCACCCCAAAGAAACACTGCTATGGTAGTATAGTCTGATTTTTGCAAACATACTTCACAATGTTGGTAGCTTCTTCTTACTTAAAATTCTTAAAACTTGTATCTTACCCAAGTAACTTATTTTTATATTGTGTAGTACATGCTGCAGAGGACCCAGGACCAAGACGAAAATGTGGCTTTGGAGGCTTGCGAGTTTTGGCTGACTTTGGCTGAGCAACCAATTTGTAAAGATGTATTATGTCGGCATCTTACTAAGTAAGTATTAAGAACTGCAATTCCTATTTATTTCTAAATAGTCATCTTTAAACTTCAGATGACTTGTTCCTGATTACTCATAACAGAGACTGTGTCTAGCTTGCGGTATGCTTAGAAGAATTTTCCTGTAGCTAGTTCCTGTGTACAGTAAAAATGGCTGTACCACATGGAAAAGAATTCTGCGGATTTTGGATCCAGTAACCTCCATAAGCAACCTAAACTGTGTCACTGTGATGGTGCTTAATCTCCAGTTTAACAGGCTGTTAAGTTGTGGATGCCCCCTCTCCCTTGCTGGGCCAGGCTGGATGAGGCTTTGAGCAACCTGGTCTAGTGGAAGGTGTCCCTGCCCATGGCAGGGGGGTTGGAACTAGATGATCTTTAAGGTCCCTTCCAACCCAAACCATTCTCTGATGACCTATGACTAGGGAGCTGTACAAGTTTGTCAATACTTGATGACAATCCTAAAATTTTTAATATTAAACTAAAATGGGACAATATCTCCTAACAACCTGTTCAAGTGGTATCTTAACATCTTGTTCCATATTGCTTCTGTAGCATTTCTTATAAAATACATAGCTTCTGCATACTTTATGAAGTACACTGCAGAAATGCCAATGAATTGGTGATAATGTGTATACTTACTATTCTATCAAAATTCAGAAGGTAACATGCTATTGCAATGTGTGAATATTATTGCTGGCTTGGTACCTTCAAAAACAATACTCCTCGGCTGCAGAATATAGAGCAATTGAGTTTGTCACTCGTGCTGGGTCTGTGGTCATTTTATTTGGAGAATGTGTTTTTGTGTGAAGTGATTCTATGATTGACTTTTTTCAAATTCTATGATTCTATGATTGACTTTTTTCCCTTAGTACATTTTTAGCTATACATCTGTACAATAGGAGTCCAATAGCCGTAACCAAGTAATGAAATACTAATAAAGACTAGTTAAGATCTCCGCAATGTTGAGGACTTGTCTTAACTGAAGTAAGCACAAAAGGATAGGAGGTTTTAATGTAGCTAGGCTTCCATTTTTAAGAGTAGTGAGCATAGTCTTCAGCCACAAGTAAATAAAGTGACAAGTACTACTGGTGAGAGCCAACTTGTTTATAATGCGTATTATGGGAGTTTGAATTATTAACAAAATCTTCAGACTTTATTTTTTAAAGGTTCAGAGTAAATTCATAATATGGAAGAATATTTGGTTTTTAAAGCTTAAAACTCAGTTCTGCCACGTAGCTACCTGTGGCTAAAAATGGAAATTATCACCTTTTCAGACTGCAAAGTATTGATGAATGTTATGACATGCAGCTTGGTTTAGGTACTAGCCTTTTGTATCAGGCTACGGGTTTTTTTATTTTAGGTTGAGAGGGTGACAGTTACAACCAAAATTATGGCCCAGGTAACTGAAACTTGCTTGATTTTTTTTTTTTTTTAATGTTTTATTTTGACACATATCTAATTTTTTTTCATAGGCTGATACCTGTGTTGGTAAATGGTATGAAATATTCAGAGATTGATATTATTCTGTTGAAGGTGAGCGTCATTTTTTTTTTAATCTGTAAAAATATTGGGTTAGCTTCTGCCCTATACATCAGAATAATTCAGATCAGGGTGGGCAGATTTGACCTACTGTCTCTTCAATGGAGAATTAAATTTTGGGGGCAAAGTGTGCTGTTCCAAATACTAAATGCAACTATTCCATGTTCGTTGGAAAATAATCTGTGGGCTTTCTATCTTTGCCCCGTCCCGTCCCACACAGTTTAGTCAGAACTGGGATACTATTGCCCATGAACTACTGCAACAATACAGCCTAAAATAAATGTTTGGAATTAGTTCTAATGCCTCCTAGATTGAATATATGGCTTTTTCCAATGCCACATTTTAGAATATGTCTGTGTACAAGAATTTCTGTCACTTTTTTGTGTTAATCCCCGTCAAGAGCAATTTCTTAATGTGAAGGATACTTTGTGCATGAGGTTCTCTCTCTTGCTTCTATTTTCCTGTTGTTTTTCTGGTAAATGTGTCAGCAGAATGCAGGAACAATGGCATCTTTAGTTAGCTGGGCAGCACAAATGGGATGTGAATCTCTTATACGCTCATAAAATCATCCAGAACTGCATTCTTACCTTCCTTGAGCAATATAGTCAGACTAGTTTATCTGATAAAACAATTTGACAGGGGGATGTTGAAGAAGATGAAGCTATTCCAGATAGCGAACAGGACATAAGACCTCGTTTTCATCGTTCACGGACGGTGGCTCAGCAACACGAGGAAGATGGTATTGAAGATGATGATGACGATGACGATGAACTTGATGATGATGATACTATTTCTGACTGGAATTTAAGTATGTCAAAGTAATGTGTAAGATGTTTTAAAATAGAGCTGTTTGCATAATGCAAGAACCACAGTAATAAGACTTGGTGTATAGGAATACTGAGGCTTTGCTTTTGAATACAAAATGAACTATCTGCTGACATAACTGGTGGACAGGAAGTCTTCCAGATGACATGTTGACTACGTAACTGTATTGGCAAAAGCTGGCCATCTGTAAGCTTTTTTCTTATTTTGAATATGGCATATTGAGCTTCAAACATTTGCTGGATGCAATTCAACAGAACTTCTGGATTCAGAATTTTAGTTCTACAAGATAATAAAAATCACTTATCACCTGTTTAACTTCAGTTTAAAAAATAAATAAGAACTTACACATTGATAGGTTAGGGAAGCATAATAATGCTTTCTGTTACTTCAGTCTTCCCTCTGGAATTTTTTTTGGTGTTTCATTTTGGTTTGGTGGTTTTTGCGTGTGAGCATGCTACTACTGACAGCCTTTAGTGGTAGTTCTTTCCTACATGCAGGATTTGCTTCTGAACAGAATATAGTACCTTAGTTATAAGAGAGGACACAGCTGTGAGGAGACTGTAGTTCTGATGGCCTTTGTATGGTTTACAGGACTTTCAGACCAATTGGCCATGTGATAAGGAAAGAAAATTCCACAAACTGATTTTTAAGCTCAGTGATAGAAAATAGTGAAATTCTGACAGATGCGACTTAAATATATTTTGCAAGCAACCTCAATGTGGAATAATATTTTGAGATTTGAACATATCCACATAATTTTCTTTTCTTCCAAGACCGTGATTTTTCCTGACAGGTGAATGTACCTTGAAGCTTATGATCAAATACCTGATTTTTTTTAATTGATGATTATTATAGTTGTTGTTACTATCATTATTGTCATAGAAAATGCGTGCCAGTATGCCTGTTCCTGTAAATCCTCTTTTAAAAAAAAGTATAGTTTTAGATTCATAATGTTGTTCTTGTCACTGTATGTGCTGAGATTGCAGAATTAAATACATATTTTCTGAAAAAGATAGCTGACATGACAAATGAACTGTGGTCCACAGTTTTGATTAAGATAGTGAGGAAACTAAAGTTGTCCAGGAATTGTGGCCTGAAGGAAAGAGCAGAACAGTCAAGAAGTCCTAAGTTATGACTTCTAACTTACAAGTTAGTTCAACTTCATAAGTGACAGTAAGTTATCTGGACTTGAGAGAATTTGGATTATCTGAAAATCAGAACTGTGTGCCCTGTTTCTTATCCAGTGTTCTGTATTTGACTTCCAATGTGAACAGATCTCAGCACTGCTTACTAATCAGACCCAATTGGATTCTTTATGACATTAAGAAGGAACTGAGATCATAATAAGCAAAAAATACAGTGTAAATTCTGTAATACGAGAATTCTTTACAAAAATGCTTTAGTAGTATTTTTTCCTGGACATGAGACCACCACAGTAGAAAACCAGTAAGTATTTCAGAATCACTTTTTGAAGTTGTTCCTGATTTTTCTTTTTATGATTTTTTTTCCTTGGTTGGTTGTTGTTAGTTTGGTGGGGTTTTTTGAGTAAAACTTTCAAACAGATTTTGAGGTGTTCCTCTTCATTTTGGTGCATCACAGAACAAGAGTAAGGTATAAAAAGATCAGAGCAGAGGCCAGGAAATTCCTTTCAGTCTCTAGAGCTGGATGTTTTGTGTTTGTGGGGTGTTTTTTTTGTTTGTTTGGTTGTGGGTTTTTTTTACTTTGAAAACTTTCTTTTGAACCAAATGCTAGTATATAGTAGTTTTAGGCTATTGCTCCTTTGTCCTCAGTTTCTCCAATATGTTAGATTTGTGTTGCAGATCTTCCTTAGTGTTAAATTATCCTCAAATCGTGTAGTGAATATAATGGTGTGGTTCGTGTCAGTGAGTGTTTTAGTGTCCCCAGTGTACAAGTCCTCTTAGCAGCTATTTAAGTGCTGCAAAACTGGCTTTCTAAGAGCTGTGGCTTTACACCAGGACACAGTGGATCACTCTGTATTGTAATGAAATGGAAGAATCGTTCCTCCTACTGCCCTGACACTTAACTGTCAGCTCTAAGTTACAATGAGGATTATGTTGCCTAACTACAACTTCGGTAGTAAGCAGCGATTAACACTGTTAATTCCCCTAGGAAAATGTTCTGCTGCTGCTCTTGATGTCCTAGCCAACGTATTTCGTGATGAACTTCTGCCACACATCTTGCCTCTTTTGAAGGAATTGCTCTTCCATCCCGAATGGGTAGTTAAAGAATCTGGTATCCTTGTTCTTGGAGCAATTGCTGAAGGTAAGGCACTGGTGCTTACCAGGTTGCTCAATTTTCTTGGTTCTAAACCAGCTCTTTGTTCCTTCCAGATGAATTTACATATGCAAACAAGTATCTGTCCTTAGCTGGTTTGAGAGAAGAGGATTCCTATGACTTCAGTGTCCTGAGCTGCATTTTGTGGATGGCTTTCCAATTTAAATATGCTAACTTCCCTCACTTTGTACTTTCTCACCATCTTGCTTGGCTTTTTGCCTGCATTTCCACGCTTTTTTGTTGCTGCTGAAATTTAGATTTCTTAAAGAATTCTTTTTAATATGTGATGATTTGTTGTCAAGACCAAGTATTTCTTTACTTGTTGTCTTGGTTAGTCTCGGTAGACTGATGTGTAGGACCTCCAAGCTTCATAAAACCATTTTATTTGGATGTACTTGCCATACTCTATTTAATAAAGCAGAATTTCTGGAGGTTGGGAAAGTACTGAAGTAGAAATGTAGTTAAAAGGAATGTAAATTTTAATTGGGGGCTCTAATTATTGTTTATGTAAGGTCCTTTTTTTTGGACTTAATATAAATAAGGTAGACTTGCTTTGTATATTGTTAAAACGTATTCCTGCATGATACAGACTGAAAATGTCACTTCTAGGAAATGAAACAGTAGAACTTCTGGTTAATTCTGGTACTGCAATAGCTGTATTTTTCCTTTTAGGCTGCATGCAGGGTATGATTCCATATCTTCCTGAGCTGATCCCCCACCTTATTCAGTGCCTCTCCGACAAAAAGGCTCTTGTGCGCTCCATTACATGCTGGACTCTTAGTCGCTATGCACACTGGGTAGTTAGTCAACCCCCAGACACATACTTGAAGCCATTAATGACTGAGTTGCTAAAGCGTATCCTAGATAGCAACAAGAGAGTACAAGAAGCCGCCTGCAGGTAAGTCAAATCTTAGGCAAAAAGCACTATCCATGACACTGCTTTTTCATGGGAAACTATTTTAATGCCTTTATCAATGAATGCATGACTCCATTTCTAGCTCTTAATGTGTTTTTTCCTCTCTTAAACTGGAGTAGATACAGCTTTTTCTAGAGTAGTCACAAATTACTCCAAGTTGTAATAACATGAAAAAAGTTAGTTTTGCTCATCCAGTTTGTTTTCAGAGTATATGAATCGCCAAACTAAATTTGTTATACTAAAAAAATTATCTTGTGATACTTGCTTTCAATATACGATGTTTTACTGACCAGAAAACTGCCTTTTTTAATTTGCCTATGAATAAGGTCAATACTGATTGCAACGGAAAACTATCCTATCATTGGATTACTGGTGGTGTTTATATTTAGTTCAGGATTACCAAAACATTTGGGTTCTGTTTATTTCAAGAGAGAGTCTCTTTCTCTTGAAGGGAGACCCTGGGATATAAGATTCCCTTCTCCCCTTTGTCTGCTGATTTTAATTAATTAATGGCTCCATTCATGAACACACAGTTTATGGAGGGGGTGCACTTCTTGTGCTGGAAGCTCATCAAATAAAGCTTTTACGTGTCAGTTTATGTAGGGGAGAAGTGTACACAGCAGACTGCTGGGAAGGTTTCTTTGTAAAGCAGAGTTAGATCTGCATCTGATTGTATTCCTAATGCTTTTTAAATTTTATTATTAATAATAGTTACTATTGTTGTTCCCCACCCACAAAAATCAGTAGTGCCTAAGGACAAAGCTGAGGTGAGAGCTCTTGGGCTAAGCTTTGCACAAAAGGGGTAGATGTATCCTTGCCTGAGAACAGATACAATTAATTTAATCAAATTAACTTAAGATTTGAGTATTAAACACTGTTTCCTTTTGTCTGTAAACCTTTTCAAACATTGGGCTAGCAAGTTTGGTTTTTAACGTCACCTCCATTTTGTCATTTCATAGTGAATGAGGAGGAAAATGGTCATATAATACTACTTGCTTCACGCATTTTCACATCCAAGGAATCAAATTGTGTACAGAATCCATTGCCAAAAAAAACCCAACTACGAACAAACCCCCACATGCTTCTTTTCAAACTTTGCTTGTCTAAAACATGGTTGAAAACACGGTGCATGCAGTTGAACACATCTGTGTTGCAGTTGTTAAATAACCTCATGTAGTGCTTATGAAGGAAGTGCAGTGGGCAGAAGTAATGAGAAACAGATAAAATGGAAATATTAAAAATACAGCTGATTTTTTTTTTTAATTTAAAGTTTCACATCAGATTTATAGGGTATTTTGAAATGCTTTGCTTACAGCAGAGACTCATTAGAACGACTGTTGCAGCTAAATAAACTCTGAAACTCCAGTTTAAGGAAAATGTAGAGCTGTTGCAGGTCAAAACATACTTTCTAGCTTTCTAAATTGCAAGGAAATATAACCAGCCTTCTTGGAAAGGGGCAAAAAGCTGCATCCCTACAGTGAATAGTTGCACAGTTAATATCTACCAAGTTGAAATTGGTCATAGGATATTGTATGTTTTCATGACTAACTTCTGTATCATAGAGGATGTGTCATGTTTGTTTCTGTAGTATTGAGAAACTACTCCTTCAGTTGGTGACACTCAGAAGATACTGTACTGAAACATTTTTTCCTGGCTCACATTGTATGCCTTTCTGAATTAATAGGTCAAGACAATAAATAAAGTAAAAATGCTAGCCACTTACTGTTCACAGTTGCATTGTGTTAACAGAAATGCATTTCTGTATTTGGTAGCATGCTAACAGGGATTTGTTCACTTTGTGCAGTGATACATGAATTTTTAGTGCAGGGACAGGCTAGTAATAATCTTGTTGACACAAGCTAGGCCAGTAAATCTGCAATAGCTCATAATTTTTTCCTTTCCTTAATGTTTCTCTGAAGCAGCATGTCTGGTCTGTGTGTTGGAGGGGGTTGTTGGTTTTCAGAGGGTTTTTTTAATGCTGTTGTTCAAACACTTGACAGACAACCTGGAAAGTCTCCATGATGCCATGATGTGTGTTCTGACCAAGGCTGGCTAAAATTATTTATCACCTGTCTGGTTTATTTTTCCATGTCTTTCTGTATCTGTTTTTCTGTGTAGTGAAATGCTGAGAGTACAGGCTGATACTGGCACAAGAGCACTAGGGCTTCCAGGTGCAACTACAGCATACATTAAAGATAGGGCCATTTTTAACTTCCGTATTAACAGCTTTTGTTACAGTTCCTACTATTTCAGTTAGTATATTGTAACTTGTCTACAGTAGTGGTTTACTTGGTGGAGTCTTCCTGCGTGTATGTAACAGGTTTTACAACAATATTTTTTTAATTTTGTTCATAACTATTTAAGAGCCGAATCCTTACAGAATTTGAGGACTAAATACAGGGGGTTTTATGTTTTAACGGAAATGGGTAGTGTCGGATGTTTTGGGGTGTCTTCTTTCATTTTTTCCAAGGTACTAACAGACCTGTTTTTTGTGTCCCTCAGTGCCTTTGCTACTCTAGAAGAGGAGGCTTGTACAGAGCTTGTTCCTTACCTTGCGTATATACTTGACACTTTGGTCTTCGCATTTAGTAAATACCAGCATAAAAACCTGCTCATTCTTTATGATGCTATAGGAACTCTAGCAGATTCTGTAGGACATCATCTAAATAAACCAGTGAGTATACCTTATGTTCTGTTGAAGCACTCAAAATTTAAAAAAAAAAAAGGTTCAGTGGTTTTTGTAGTGTGCTTTACATGTTATAAAACTAATGCTGATATTTCTGTGTAGGTTTCAATAATTCTAAATATTGGCAGGTAAAATATATGGACAGCGTGTAATTTCCCCACTACACAAATATTTCCCATCTTGAATAAAATACTGTGTTTGGTGGCCTGTGAAATGTTGTTCTCATGGTGAATTTTTTTTCCTCATGCTCAGAATGTTTCAGTTCAGAGGAGATCCATTTTACACCTATATCGATATATGTGATTTCAGAGAAATTGGTGGAATGTCTGTTAATTTCTGATAGCTGAACTTCTTTCTGTAACTACTTCAAGTATAGTTAAGATGCTCTGTGTGTCTCTTTCCAATGTTTTGGAGCACATCGTTCTTAGAAATTGCTTTATCAGAGAGGGAGATCATATAGCAGATCCTTCCGGAAACCATGCTAAGGCACATGGAAAACGAGGAAGTGGTTGGTGACAGCCAACATGGCTTCACCAAGGGCAGATCGTGCCTGACAAATATGGTGACCTTCTACGATGGGGTCACGACCTTGGTGGATAGGGACGGGCAACAGATGTCATCTACCTGGACTTGTGCAAAGCCTTCGATACTGTCTGACCCGACATCCTTGTCTCTAAATTGGAGAGACATGGATTTGACAGATGGACCACCCTGTGGATAAAGAACTGGCTTGATGGTCACACCCAGGGAGTTGTGATCAATGGCTCACTGAGTGGAGAGCAGTAACGAGCAGTGTTCCTCAGGGGTTGGTGTTAGGACCGGTGGTGTTCAACATCTTTGTCAGCGGCATGGACAGTGATATCGAGTGCACCCTCAGCAAGTTT